TATGTTTACATTCAAAATCTAAAACATTTTATGAATTCGAAAAGATTTTTGTGAATATTTTTTAATGGAAAAAAAATTGTGACATAACACTAATTCTGATATTTGTTTTATATATAATATAGATATTTAAATAAAAAAAAAAGAGCAAATTACAGTGGCAGTCCTTATAGTTTACCCGTTTTATCATTTTGGTCCCCGCCGTTTCAATTTGATCAATTTTGCTCCTGAATTTTACAAATTGTGTCTCAAAATCTAAAACATTTTATGAATTCGAAAAGATTTTTGTGAATATTTTTTAATGGAAAAAAAATTGTGACATAACACTAATTCTGATATTTGTTTTATATATAATATAGATATTTAAATAATAAAAAAAGAGCAAATTACAGTGGCAGTTCTTATAGTTTACCCGTTTTATCATTTTGGTCCCTGTCGTTTCAATTTGATCAATTTTGCCCCTGAATTTTACAAATTGTGTCATATTAGTCTAATAAATAACGGGGGTTATGTTTGATGGACGAAAAATCAAATGATGTGTCAATTTGGTCCCTAACACATCCTATAAACTACAAGAACCAAATTGACACATCATTTGATTTTCTATTCATCAAACTTAACTGTCATTATTTGTTAGACTAATGCGACACAATCCGTAGAATTTAGGAACAAAATTGATCAAATTAAAACAACATGGACCAAAATGATAAAACAGGTAAATTACAAGGACCATTTACATAATCTGTCCATAAAAAAATGAAAAAGGAATGAAGGAAAACATAGGCATTAAGCTAGGCATGGGTGACTTAGATTTCACATCTATCCAAAGTTATACTGACTTGGAGTCGATTGGTTATGGAAATGAAGAAATGTCAATCTTGAGTAAGACTCAAGCTTAATGTTGCTTAGTTTGTTGGTGAATTTTTACTTATTCCAAATCCATCCACTTTAACAGACTAGTTGTTGACACTTGACATAAAAAAATTAAGAAAGGACTAATGTTGCTTTTAGTTTGTTGGTTAATTTTTACTTATTCCCAATCCATCCACTTTAACTGACTAGTTGTTGACATAAAAAAATCAAGACAAGTAAAAAAACATTCTATGTGGTAGACCTAATACCACTTCCATTGTCAAATTGCTTGAGGCAAAAGAAAATGATAATAATAAAATATAAATAAAAACAAAAAAATAAGAAAAAATTAGTAAAACATCATTCTCCAACTTTTTATAGTAGGAGAGGTCCAATATATTTTTTCTTATTAATTAAGATCCCTCAATAATATTATTAGAGAAATTTCAACTTGAACGAGTTGAAATTTCATCTCAACTATTGTACATTTATATTATAAAATCTTAATATCGGAGATCTTAAACTAAAAATCTCAAAAAAAAAAAAAAAAACAAATAGAAACAAATAAATAAATAATGGCAAATAGATAATAAAGTTAAAGGCACTTCCAAAAGGATTCATTTATCTTTTTTTGGATTTAAAAAAAAAATTAAAGAACTAGCAGCTAGAATTTTATTTATTTATTTATGGACAAAACCTATTTTAGCCTTTGTGATTTAAGGCCGTAGCACTTTACACCAATATGATTTATGATTAAAAATTGACTTGTTGGATTTTTTTTAAATTTTTTTTTGAAAAAATATATAAAAATATGAGAGATGATATGACCTAAAATGAATTAATAGGCGAAAAGTAGCTCTAGCTCACTTCTCAAAAGAGACCTGAGTTCCATAATCCCAGATTTAGTTGTGTACAAGGAGGCAAATGCAGCAGCATATGTTTTGGTTAAAAAAGCTTCTTCTTTACTTTTTGACTGTTTATATTGGGATGCCTCTCCCAAATTTGTTCCTATTCTTAATTGTGATATTATGGACCCCTCCTTTTTTGGAATCTACTATAAACTTATCTTCCTTTCAATTTTTAATAAAAAGTTTATTCCCTTTTGTTAAATAAAAAAAAGAAAGAAAGAAAGGTGAACTTACATCAGAAGAAAGAAAGGGACAGCCCAGGATGAAGCATCCTCCATCAGGTTTGGAATTCACAAAAACTTTATTAATGTTAAGAATACATAATTAAAATACGAAATGGATTATAATAGTAGATTGTGATTTATTTTGAAAGTAAAACCCTTCAATCATTCCCAAATCAGTTATATATATGTCATTCAAAACATTTTGGGAATGTCTGGTTTGTGTTTGAGAGATGTGTTTTAGAGATAAAAAGTACGAAAAATTGTTTGGTTTGGTTTGGTTTTTTTCAAAAGATGTTTTGGAAAATTATTGTGAGAGAGAGTTTTGGAAAAAGTGATTGATTTGATGTGTGTGAGAGAGAGATTTGTTTGGAAAACTTGTTTGGTTTACAAGTTTTGAGAAATTTTTTTAGAAAAATTTGTTTAGCTTGATTACTTTTAAAAACTTATTTGTAGAGAAAATTTTCTAAAATTTTTTCAGAAATACAAACCAAACGAACCCTTTGTGTTCTAGCATTAATGTAACAACTCAAAGCAAACTTTTGCAAAACCATTACTACACTTTTAAATGGGTGCCATTAATTGTGTATTCCTGCCCTAGTTGACCCAATGAGTGATTTGTGGTCCTAATTTCAAACATTCCATAGGAAAAAAGTGTCAAGTGTATCCCCACTTTTGAAGAAAAGAAAAAAAGAAAAAAAGAAAAAAATGGAAAAGAAAAGTGGACTTTTGGGGAGTAATTATTTAAGGGAACTTCAATTATTACCCTACACAGCCTTCATGAGAAAATGACTCTGGACAGTCTAGAATATCAAAATGAATGTGTGATTAACAAATGGCTGATTATAATCTAATCACTAAGGTGTTTTTAAAATATTTAGGTGAATTATTAGGTAAATAAAGTAGTTTCCACAACTTCAATTAAATAGTAGTATCCAGAGTCATCATCATTAAAAAATGGCATACAAAAGTCTTCCATCTCATATGATGGAGCCACCACATTAAAAATAGTATACAATAAGAGGATTCTTTGGTAATTTTATTTTTCTAAAAAAAATGGCAACAAATTTCAAAATGTGTGAAACAAAAAAATAAAAATAAAAAAAGAAAAATTTAGTCAAAAGTCACTCAACATAATTGTGTAGTATTAAAAGGACAAACAAATATTTTCTAATGCATAAAGTCCTTTTAAAATTGATTTATCATGGATTAATAACATAAAAATATGTCTTTATTTTAGACAACTTTGTCCTTTTGTCTTCTATTAGTTCTCTCTTTCTATCTCAACCATTAATGTAATAGATGTTGACAAGAGGATTTAAAAAACATCAACTTTATTAAAAATCGACGCATAAATCAAAAGTTATATCATTTTAAAATTTCAAATATAAAATTAGTCATTAAAAATATTTTGGTAATAAGGGTGTCTATTAGCCTTTTCAAGGCAAATTTTGTATGTCTTTAATGTATGAAAATTTTGTTATGAGGGAGTTTTGATCAAATTCTCCATAAAAATAAAAATAAAAATAAAAATAAAATGACGACAAATTTCTATCGATCCCTTATGACAATTCTTTATTTTATTTGTGTATGTTTTGATACCAACCATATTTTGAAAATGCTTGTATTTTTTGTAACCATAAAATAAGAAACTAATAATGTTATCAAATATAGAGTCTACACATAAGCAAAAAAAAGGGGATAAAAGTGTGCATTTTTACCAAAACTAATCATTTTTTAAAATTAAAAAAAAAAATTACTTTTTACTTGGCTGCCAAAGACATTAGCTTGACCATAACTTTCAGTTCATTGGTGTTTGGGAAGCAAGTTCCCAAATTTTTTTCTCATTTTTTTCACTAAACGACAAAAGTTTTGCAAAACAAAAAAAAAAACACATCCAAACAAAATATCACATCCAACCCCATAATCATTTCACTTTTTCTCTCACAAACATCACATCCAACCACATAAAAACCCAACTATCTTCCCAAATACCAAAAATTTTTTATCTCATAAAAACCTATATCTAATAAAATGTACATAAAAACTCACTTCCCAAACACCATCTTTTTTTTAAGGTAAAAAACGAAGGGTTAAATTTTAACACGTAACTTATTAATAATATGTCGTTGGATAACAACCCATCTTGTTTTTGCATATTTGGTCAACAACATCTTTAGATACAAAAATTGGTTTGAAAATTACTTTTTTAGTTTTTTTTTTCCTTAAATGTTTTTTAAAAAAATAATGTATTTGGTAAATAATAAAAACTAGTTTTATTTTTATTTTTTTTTACTTTCTATATTAGAAAGAACTGGAAAGTTAAAAAATAAAAAAATTGAATGATTTTTTTTAAAATTTCACTAAAAATAAATTTAAAAAAATTGTGATTTTTTGTAACAATTGTCAGTAGAAATGAATTTTGTTATAAAAAACTTATTTTTATGAAAAAGTTAAAAAAATATTCGTTACAATTGCCGTCTCAAAAGGTTTTTTGCGACGGCAGATGACTTTTAGCGACGGCAAGTGGGGGGTCGCAACAAAAGGGGTCGCAAAAAGGTTTTAGCGACGGCATGTTGCCGTCGCCTTTTTTTTGCGACAGCAAAATTGTCTTTTTGCGATGGCATTTTTCCGTCGCCATTAATATGAAAAAAATCTGAAATTTTTTAAGACGACACTATTTTGCCGTCGCTAAAGGTGTTATTTGCGACGGCAAAAAATGCCGTCGCCAAAGAATTTTTATTGCGACGGAATAATGCCGTCGCTAAAAAAATATTTGGGACAGCACAATGCACCGATTATTTGCGACGGCAAAGAACACCGTCGCAAAAAAATTTTGTCTCAACTCTACCAATATCATTTGCGACGGCAATGTGGTGCCGTCTCAAAAAAAAAAAAAAAAAATAAAAAAAAATTATTAAAAATATGAAAATTACCTGTATTAAATGAAAAATAATTGAAAAGGAAATCAATAATTACATAATAATATAAAAATTTCAGTATAAAAATAACAATTCATTCATAATACAAATATTCTTGCATTCATTCATTACAACACATTAGCAAAATTATCCCACTACATAATATTGCATAATACATACACAATGTTTAAATACAGAAAGTTGTTCACAATTCAAAATAACGTAAATCAAAAACAAAAATTTCCCTCATGATTCCAGGAATGGAACCACCAACTCCATTTGCGCTATTACTAAATCTAGGGCTACCAACAACACTCATTCCACCTCTATTTGTCACCCCTGAATGACCATGTGAGCTTCCATGGGATATCTGCAATACAAAACAATACACAATTGGGTAGAGATCAGGAAAGAAATTAATTTAGCAAACATAGTGAAACACCAGTGAATGAAAAATACCAACTAATAAATATGTGCAAAACTAACACATACCTGAGAAAGGGCAACAGGGAGATTGTTTGATGCAAAACGTCCACTAGAAAGGCTTCCAGTTGGCTGTTGAACCCAACTAGAAGGAACATTATTTATTGTAGAGTTTCTAGATGCAAGTGTGCCAGGCATGTTGGGAACATTAAAGCTCCCATGAAGGTTATGCAGCCCTTGAATAGTTCCTGTAAAAGGAAATTTCTATGTTATATAAAATATGATGGAAAATATAGAGCAATACTCAGCAAAATCAACTCACCTGTGTGATGAAAAACAGGGGAGGCTGCACCAGATTGAGCAGAAAAAGATGTAGCAAAAGAACGCCCAGTATCGTCTGGAAGATTTGAAGCTGATCCGTTCAGAGATGACTGCAGATAAGTTAGATAAATTTTACAAGCACCAGGAATATGCATGTGACCATATAAATCATGCCACTCGTGGTCCAAGTTTAGATATAACAGTAAGCATTCACAAAACTCAAAACCAAGACCAAACAATTGGCATACAAAAAATGCAAGACTCAAGTGAGACAAATAGAGGATACATGCAGAACTAAACATAACTAAAGGGAATTGAGTGAATGCCCAAATTATCAGTCCAGAACAATTTATCTCCAAATTTTTGTGGTCCTCTTTATAAATAGATTTGTATATTGATAGCCAAAAAACAAAAGAATAAAATAAAGATGTAAGATGGTCTTCCAATCACCCTTCATAAATAGTTTAACTATACATGCTAGAGATTGCTCCATACAACATAGCAAGAAACCATATAAAAAGTGGATATGTTTTAAGCCCTGCCTTTCTGCATTTCTTGTTGGATAAGAAACTGATGTATTACAAGGCCAAGTCCTGTAACTTCCACATTAAACTGAAAAGGATGGATGAGTTGAAAACAAGAAAAATATATTTAAATAAAAAATAAAAAATTAAGAAGAAACATTTATTTAAACTACTTTTACATTTTAGGATACACATATTTATGTAAATATGTTAACCAAATACATAAATTTATACATACATAGAACGTTAAATTAATCTTGTGTTTAATGGAAAATGAAGTTAATGTAACAAATAATTTATATTACCAATGTGTTCAAAGGAATGTGGTGCTATGGTGGTTCACTTCACCGGCTGGAACATGTGTTTTGCCAGTTTTTGCAAACACATATTTTACCGTCCAAAAACATGACTAGCGAATGGGTTCATCAGTTGAACTAGCCGGTCTAATCTGGTTTCAAAATATTGCCGAGAGGTCTATGCCTTCAATTAAATATTAATTCTACAGTGACACAACATATTTAAGGTTTCAAATCTTTAAACTGTGAATCTCACTGTGACTGCAGCATTGAGTTCATAATATACATAATCAATAGATTCTCATCATGGGGCTATTAATGCTTTAATGCTCCATTATTTTAGTCTTGGGGTTATTATCAAATGCATCCATCTTCAAACAACTATGTTTTTCCACAAGCACAAATTTAGTCAGTTAACATCAATCATACTGATATTACAGAGTGAAGCTCATACAACAATCAAAAATCAACCTAACAGATTACGAACAATTCAAAAATCAATGACCCACATCACATGTAGACTACATTTTCAAAAATCAATGCTCCATCTATTGCTTCACATGTGTAGCCGAACACAAATAATTTCAAATGAAATAATATTACAATCAATTACCTTTTAGATAGTTACTTTAAATTACAAAGGACAATGTAGATTGACCGAAGATAATTCAAAGGAAAAACACAGAATAACAAGTTACCAGTTGGCCCATTAAGCATAAAAACAGTGAAGTTACCCCCAATTTTCAAGTGTAGATACGGAAGCAAGAGGAGTACGAAACACACACACACACGGAAATAGTAGACATCAAATTTGGAATTGAAGTGGCCATCATAATGGCCTAATATTTATAAACAGATCATAATTGCAAAAGTATTGAATCAACTATCAAACCAAAACCCAGAACTAGATTTCAAGGGAACAAACCCAGTTCTTAATTTACAGATTATGAAGATAAAAAAAAAAAAAAAAACTACAGAACTTGATTTCCCTGAGAAACATAATAAAAATAAAAAAATCCTTTTTAACATAAATATTGATTCAAATTCTTTTAACATAAATATTGATTCAAGTTCCTTCATTATTTCTGTCATGGAAATTCTTTATACTGAGTTCAAAATTTAGGATCTTTGTAAATATTAACTATCCCAGATCATTAATTCACCATTTCAACACCAGCAAATCATCAAACACCTTCAAAGCATAAAATGGAAGGACTTATATTCCAACATTTCATAGGCTTCAATATATATATATATATA